GAGAAAGAAAATAGTGGACTAGGCAGTGCTGGGGGAGGGGGCAAGAGAAACCACAGGGAACAGGACAAAGTTCCTTCTCCAAAAATGATTACAAAGAGACGTAAACAAGCAACTAATTACAAAACAGACAGTCGCTAATGTATAAAGTTTGAACCTAAACTTTCCCACTTTATAATAATGCAAAAGCGGCATGCACTCGGCAGAAAACTTCCTTAGGTTTTGGAACTGTTATCTTTTCCCAGATTAGCCCTAAGATATGAAATACACTCCTGTGATGCTCAGCCCTTCCAACATGAGGGGAAACCCAATCTTAGCAGTGAGCTGTGTTGCTAAAACAGGGTGTTGGGTAGGTTAGGCATTACCAATTGATATCAACCTTCTATAACATCATCTTCCTGTGGATGGATGAAGACATAACCCCTTCATATATAGGAAAGCATCTATGTCATCAAAATCCTACAGGGAAGTGTTCCAGGAAAAGATTTCCGAGATGAGAATTTTGTCTTAGCAAGCATCTCAACAATGAGTTGTGCCCAGGGATTCGATGGTAAATGGAGGGCAGAGGATAGACAGAAAGGTTCAGAGGGAACCTTCAGAGAGACAGGAGGTAGCATATGCACCAAGGAGAGCTACTACTACTCCCCAGTGTACCGCAGCATTTCCCTGGACAAGGACATATGCTCCAAAAGACGTCGATCCACCCTGACGTCATGAAAGAGGGTTGCCCACAAACTAAGGCTGTGCATGGGCAAGCAGGTGCACAACTTCTGCCCATGCACTTCAAATTTCACAATTTTTAATATAAATACTGGAATTTTTTTTTTAAAGCAGGGCTTCAATACATGGCCAGACTGGCATGGAATTCTTACTTCAGATACCAAGGCGCTCTTATTTTAGGTATATAGTATACTCAGTTTAAATATTATGCTTCTTAAGATGCAGTCATGCTCTTTGACAGGGAATACCTCCATCTAATGAACACTTTGTTATTCTCATATCCTTTCAAAAGGAAAACCATTACCCTTATGTTGTAAAATGTGACTTCTCAGCCAGCACCAGTGACTCGAGGTTGTAATCTCAGTTCCTCTGGAAACTGAGGCAGGGACATCACAAGGGCAAGATTGGTTGGGGCTATAGAGTGAGTTCAAGTCTAGCCTGGGCCATAAAACATCAGAAGTTAGAAGAATTCTGTGGTGTTTTTAATTTTTTGTTCCTTTTGGGATGCCTAGTTTTCTAAATATTTTTAACTTATTTTGTCTGCACTTGTGAACACATACACATGTGCACGCGGGTGCGCGCGCGCGCGCGCGCACACACACACGCACACGCACACCTGCACAGACACAAGCCATGGACACGGGTCTAGATAAGAGGTCACTTTCTCTTTCCTCAGGCTGTGTGGGTACCAGAGAATGAACTCGGGCCATCGAGCTTGTGGAGGGTGCCTTACCACCTCAGCCATTTCACCAGACCATTCGAAACTTCTGACAATCAAAACTCAGATTCTTACGTTTTAAACATGTGTTTTATTTTCATAATCTTTCTAGGATCTCAGAGGATCCTAGAGCAATCTGTCCTCAGGACAACTGGGTTGTTGGTTCTGGCCTAAACTTTAATAACCTCAACCCCAGAGACTTAGCCATCCAATCTCTGTTTTATCTGGTACCACACATTTTATCTGCTTCTTCCGGCCCTAATTCCATGTCTGACCGCAGGCAAGATGCAAAATCAGAGCCTCAATCCTTTGAGGTTTTAAGGAATGTCCTGCTAATTCATATAGGAAAAGGGAAATGCCAGAAGGTCACAAGCATGACAAACTGTAAGAGAAAAAAAAATGATTTCTTTCTTTTCATAAATTGTGGACAGTTAAGCACTGGCATTCGGGGTGGGACTGGGGTGCCGTGCAAGGACCACTCCTAGAACGAATGAGTGAAAGAAACAGTATTGTATATTGCCAAAGTCAAACGGGTAAATGACAGGAAAAACCAGTGTTCACGATACTCAACACATTTTCCCAATCAACAGCTTTAAACATTGCAAGTGTCTGTAAATTTCTCTTGTGTTTGTTAATGTGAACCTGTCTGCATTGTGACTCAGAGGAGTGTGACAGAGCAGGGGTTCACACCTTGGCTCCCTCAGTTAACTGAGTAAACGTGACCATGGGAACTGAACTGTCTGGGACCCTCACCTGAGTCCACCAAGGCAGGCAGGATACAAAATATTAACAAATACTTTGCCCCTATGAGGACCGTTTAATGAAAGGCTACAAGGCTGCTACTCAGGCCTAAACAATCAAATCACCTTTTTGCATTTCCTCTTATCTACAGGAGAAACACATCCTTACTTTTAAAGATGCCATGAACGATCAGCTTTTACAACGTTCAGAACAGGTAATTCATTCTTAGGAAGTGTCAGATATTAAATGGTATGCCCAATCTTATCTACAACTCGAACTGAAAGTCATTTCTAAAGGTTTAAATGAAATAGCAGTTGAAAACAATTCGAAATAACCACGTACTGTTCTCTGTAGAAGACTCCCTTCAACGGTGAAGTGTAATTTAATTGCAATGACAACATTAATCCAATACTATAAATAAGTTGGCAACACACATCAAATCAAGACAGAGCTGATATAGCTGATCATGCCTATAACTCTAGCAGCATCCGGGAGGCAGAGGCAGGGCAAACACACAGCCAAGGCCAGAGTAGTCACCATAGCCAGTCCCGTGCCAGCCTGAGTTACAGTGAGACTATCTCTAAAACAATTCTAAAGGCACAAACATAAATCAAGATCTAGCAAGGGTATTTTAATTTTGAATACCTGAGAGATAATTCAGGTTGGGAAGTGGATAATAACTGTATAGAATGCAATGTGAGTTGAATGAAAGATATATATATATATAGATAGATAGATAGATAGATATAGATATTCTGTTCTCAAATACAAACATAAGAGTATTTCCTACTGTCCTGTATTAAACAATTTGTATTTGTTACACTGTAAGAACATGCCTTAGGAAAACAAAGCAACAATCACACAGCTCAACTCTTTTTTTTTTTTTTTCTTTCTGCTTTATACATACAAGCCCCAGATATTTAAATAGGCACAAAGGAAAACATTATCTCTTAATAGAATGACTTAGGGATGGAAATATTTCTTACTTTAAAAGCAGTCAAGGTGCTTGTTTCTACAGTGAAATCTGATGTAATCTTAAATTAGCTAATTATTCATCCCAACACCCTTAGACTTCATCCTGGAGACATTCATAACTTCTCCACCTCCAGCTACTGAACCAGAGCTCAGTAATTGCTGATAAGGAATCTTAACCACATATGTAGGAGATATAAGAGATTAAAGTCATGGGTACCCCTCTGGGTACAGAACACGGGACCACAAGTGTCTTACCATAAATCAGAGCACCTGGGAGGCTGAGGCAGGAGGATGACCTTTAGTTCTAGGCCAGCCTGGGCTACAGAGGAAACACACACGCTCACACACACACACACACACACACACACACATGCATACAACTCAAAGAAAGACCCACTTAGGCTGTATCTGCCTCCTCACTCCACTAAAGGGAGGTGAAAACTGACTCCAACTGATGGAGAATGTTTTCCATGGCTACACAGCATGTTTTAGCCCTTAAAACAATCCAAGAGGGCATTTGTCATATACTAATGTCCTTTGGATATTAAGTGTCAGAGCAGCATTAATTTAATCAAACATCCTCTAATTTAATTTGAGCCATAATTTCAAAAATGATGGCAGGTACTCATAGAAACTAAAAATAATATAATTTACTCTCTCCCCCCAAAGACAATGAAGCTTGATAATTCACTGATAACATTCTCAACTACTCAACCAATGTTATGCCAATCCTGGGACTTAGTGTGACTGTGTTTGGGTACAGGATAACCATTCTAACTAAGATTTCTTACTTTCTTTTTTTTTTTAAGAGGAAAGATGCAACATAAATTCTAAGTATTTTAAAGGTACACATTAATATCGAGTTCTTAAAAATATTTACAGATGAAAGCTTTTTGCAATTTCTATATTCATAAATATTTCCATTAGCTAAGAGATATTTTGGAATGTGGTCAAGCTATTTTGAATGCCGACTCCTAACAGCTGGGCTAGGCTAAGGCGTCTGTCTCTCCATTGAGTAAGTCTCTTTCATTAGCCAAAGCCCTTTTAAATAGGTTGTCCCTAAAAAGGATAAAGGAAAAAAACCCTAACTATGAAAACGTGTGTCTTTGTGGAAACTTCTGATGCTGATTCTTCTTCCTGAATACAAAAATTGGATTTGGGCGGCATCAGAGCTTTGGGAATTTGCTACTAAAATATGCATTTCTCATTCTTCCCCGGAAGAAAAAAGCCATCCACTCCAGCTACATATAACGCTCCAAAATACGTCCGACAACTCATGTGAAAACCAAAATATAACCACTCCTTGCAGGATAGGGGTATGTATGGAGAACTGGCAGACGGTGTGTTTATGCCAACCTTCAGGGAAATGGAAACACACAGCCCCAAGTCATTGGGGCGGGCAGGAGGGGGGGTGAGTCTCCAATGGCGATCAAACTACTTGTGTGACATTTTATGTCTATCACGTATTTCACTCCAAGCTCAACAGTCCAGTTCTGCACTGGCTGGCTGGCCCGTGTCAAATCTAGAACGCCTAAGGAGCAACCTACTATTGGAGCAGAACAGAGGTTCCTTAAGGTGAGAGTTGTGCTCCTCGCATGTAGCGTAGCTTTAGAAAAAAAAAAAAAAAAAGAAAAGAAAAGAAAGAGGAAAAAAAAAGAAAACTTTAAACATATCCGTTCTCCTGCTGCTACATAAAATCGGGAGACGTCGGGACAGGAATGCAGCAGCCCCAAGAATTGAAACAAACAAGCAAAGACTGGATACCCAAACACGGAACACGCTCGGGAACAAAGGAAACACGGGCGTGTGAACAGGAAATGAAGCAAACTCCAGACACATAAATAAATACCTTTTGGGGCCGCCGACGTAGGTGAAAGTAAAGGTGGAGTCTGAGTATCTGAAATCTGAAACGGAAAGTCGTGTTAAAAAAAAAAAAAAAAAAAAAGCCGCCCGGGGTGGGTTTGGTTTTTAACCCCAGCTCTGCCCTGAACCTGGCTATCTCACCCGAGCCCAGCGAGGCCCGATCGGGGGGCTGGAGGGCTCGCAGGGCCAGGGCGGGACGCGGCTGCGGTGCGGGAGGGGATGCTCAGCACCCCGCGGGGTGCAGCGGGAGTCTGCCCCCCGCAACAAGTGCCGGGTGCCATGGCAACGGCGGGAATTTCCCCGCCGGAAGCAGCCCCTGCCGGGCTCCGGGCTCTGCTCTGGGCCTCGGGGGAGCAAAGATGGGGATGCAGGGCGACCCCCCCCCCCCGGCTGGGCCTGCGTAGCTCGGGAGCCCCGGGAACGCATCCCTTCCCCCGGGGCGGTGTGTGTGCGCGCCCGCCCGCGCGGAGCGGCTGCAGCCAGCCCAGCCGAGGGGGGCGGGAGCTCGGCCCGGCCGGCGCTGCCTTCCCTTCCTTCTCTCGGGGCCTCGGAGGCGCCGAGCCGAGCGGAGCCGAGCAGCGCAGCGCAGCCCGTCCCTTCCCGGCCGCCGCCGCTCGGCCGATGGCGCAAACCCGCGGCTGCCGGAGCCAGGACGAGGCTCGCTCGGGGGCTGCAGCGAAGCGCCCGGCCCCTCCGCTCCGATCCGCGCGGGTGCTGCTGCCCCCCCCCCGGAGCCCGAGGCTACCCTGGCCTGGCGGAGCCCCCACCCCCCTTGGGTCTCCAGCTCACGCCGCTGCAGCTGTTTCCAAATGCACCGGGAACGGGGACTTGCAGACCCACAGCCCCAGCCACACGCGTCGCGGTCAGAAATCTGGGCAGGGGGTTGGGGGGGGGGTGTTGGCCGCCGGAGGGGAGGCTGGCTAGCTCCGGGTCCCAGGATCCCGGAGGCAAACTCACCTGCAAACAGGCAGTCTTTCTCGGCTCTGGACTTCTGGATCACGACGTCGATATCCTTCTGAATTCTCTCTTGCCTTGAACACATCCCCATTAAATAAATCCCTGGAAAAGAAGCAGCCGCTATTTCCACCCCACCCCACCCCCCTCGCACGCTTCCAGCTTTCGTAAATATTCAGTTTAAAAAAAAAAAAAAAATGGAACCTCTAGCCGAGGCAGGGGCTGAAGGCGAAGTGGTTTCGGAAGTGATCCCGGGTGAGAGAGGAGGAGGTGGCGGCGGTGGAGGAGGAGGAGGGGGAGGTCGGCTTTGCATTCCCAGATGTGACCGCCCAGCTGCTGCTGCTGCTGCTCGCCGCGCGCCGCTGCTGGATTCCAGTTTCCTCCCCTTCTGACAATGGATGGTGATGACACCGAGTCTCACTTTCTCCCTCCCCCGCCCGGACTGACGGCCGGCCGTGGGGAGCCGAGGGGCCCGAGGGGGGCCGGGGACCGCTGGAGAGCGATCGGCAGCCGTGGAGCGGCGGGCGCCGGCGAGGGGCGAGCCCCGCTCCGACTCACGCGCGCACACCCCTCGCGGCCTTCCCACACCCGCGCACACTCGCGCCCGCGGGCGGCGGCCGAGCTCAAGCTGCTGCTGCTGCAGCGCCGCCCGCCCGCCTGCCCGCCCGCCCGCCGCAGACCCTCCCGCACCCGCCGCGGATCACCGGGCCCGGCTGCGCGCCGCTGGGGCTTTAATAGTATCCGCCATCCGCGCAGTCTGGATTTCCCCACCCCCGACTGCCACTAGCGCCGGGAGCTGAGTGACAGTGTAGGTAGTGAAGGCTCCCTGGGGCTCCCAGCCTCTCCCTCCCTCCCTCTCTCCCTCTCTCCCTCCCTCCCTGTCTCTCCCTCTCTCTCTCTCTCTCTCTCTCTCTCTCTCTCTCTCTCTCACACACACACACACACACACACACACACACACACACAACCCTCCCCCTTTCCACCACTTTTATGAATTCGACTCCACTTTCAGAAGGAATTATGAGTCATATGGAAACCCAAGCCGGAGTGGCTGGGAGGGAGAAAGGGGGAAAAGAAAAATCTTCACGAATTACAAATAAATAAAGTGAACACATCTTTCCTTGTAATCAATCACACCAGGCAAGAAGGGGAAAGCTTAGAGATTACTCCAGAATCCCTCTCCCATCTCCTTAATGCCTTAGTTTTTTGGTGGTGGTGGTGGTGGTAGGTTTTTGTTTGGTTTTGTTTTGTTTGTTTTGTTCTGCCAGGTATAAGTTCAACCCTTTGAGGAGCTCTTTAGAAATGAAACCCTTTCTAGGAGACTTCAAAGATTCACCAGTTTTTCTGTCTTAGCTCTCTTTAGTAAGAAAACTCACAGGTGAAGCTGAAACGGGCCAGGGTCTCCCTGGGAGAGAGGGTTTGGTGTGGGTCCCATCCAAAAGCCACCCTTCTGCAGGCTAGTCAAGGGAAAAGCTTCTCCAGCCCTGTTACCTTGGACAGGAAGGTGACATTGCTGAACTCCTTGCTTCTGCCCAGCCTCAAGCTTATGGCAGATGGACCACCCTTATTGCTCACCACCTTTGCTCAGCATCTTTCCCCTGGCAGACCATGCTTATTTTGTTTTGCATTCCAAAACCAGGCTGTGTCTGGAATATAGGAGGTGTTATCAATCAGCTAGCTAGTCGGGAGCCTTTTAATCTTCTGGATAGGAATAGTGAGTAGGCGAGAAGTTCTTCCTGTACTGGCAGGCCTGGGTGAGTGCCTCAGGCCTAGGGGCTGAACAGGCAAACCCAGAGGAGTAGCATATCTCAAACCCTTTAGAATCCAGACGATTCCACACGGAGCTCGACAGTCAGGTTGGAGGCTTACCCATCTCCAGCCTTTTAGCGTCTGTTGTATTCCCATTCTTGTCCTCTTTTGTAATCCTCAGTTTCTGACAGCCGTGGGTGACAGCAGAAGACTGCATCCTCCAGCAATTAGGTGGGGGCTTTCAAGTGTTAAAGTTCTCCTACAGCCTTGGACATGGGGATTCCTAGACCTGCCCTGACAAGTGATAGGAGCCCCAGGCCTGTGGTTGCTCAGTTCTGTAGCCTTTGAGGCTTGACCAACACTCAGGAACTCTTTCAGAGATCAACCAAGGCCTTCAGTTTCTCTTCACTACCTTACTTGAGAAGACTTCTCTAAAGATTAATGTTGCAATATGGGATGGGGGGGGAGGCGGGGTAGGGGAGTGTCTTCTGGGCTAAAGTGAGCCAAAGAACCTGTTTAAATAGCCAGAAAGGGGGGGGGGAGTGTTTGAACCAACCCTCGCAGTTCCTCTTATAGACCAAGAACTACATAGGCACCAATCACAGGCCTTCCGATGGATTACAAGGGAAAGTCTCCATCTCACAGGGGTAGAGAAGGCTTCAAGGTCACCTAGAGTTTACCAAGGCATTCGGAAAGAAGATACCCAGTGCTAGGAGTTGGTATGGCACTTCATTAGCTGGATTGCTTCTTCTGTCTTGGAGGGGAAAAACCATGGTGATTGTAGTGTAGCTTCGCCAAGGCTCCTGTGGAATGTTCATAGTGGCCAGTGGCTAGGGTGACAGTTTTTGGGCTGGCTACTTGGCTGATAATGCTGTGCTTAAGGAAGCCAGGACATCAAGAAAGGGTATTGAAGTTAAGGCATCAAGTTACCATGGTCCCAATATAACATCAAAAAGGACACTTTTAACAAAGCCCCATTGCCAATAACATTTATTTCACGGTGTTTAACCATGTTCAACTCCTGTCAGCAATACCTTTAGAGAGGCAGGTCCCTTTAAACCGATCCTAGACTCCAGTGCTGGCTGAATACATGAAGAAGAGATGTTCCTCGAAGCCTTTCTTTATGAGGTATCCCCCACCCCAGTTTCAGTCAGCACCTCCATCAGCCTAAGTTCCTAATAGTAATTGAAGTAACTCAGATCTTTCCTCTCTCTGATTCTGATCCTGACAGCAGTGGCATGATGTGTAAGAGAGGTAGACCAGTAGTCCTTCCTGACAGATTCAATCCTGCCACATCAAAAGATTTCACCCTGACTCCTCTACCTTGCAGAAGAGAAACACGGCGTGTATGGCATGTTCTGCCATCCCTATTGAAGTTAAAAAAAAAAAAAAAAAAAAAAAAAAACTTCTGTACATTCTCTAGATCCACTGCAACTACAGCCACAGTAGCAAATTCTCTGCCCCTGGATGAGTCCTGATCAGGACCTACTAGGTTTGAGCCACCCCCACCCCACCCCCAGCTGCTTTGCTGTGGACACCTCAGACAACAAAAGCACTTTCCTCTTCCCATTCTCACCCACTCCTAAATTCAGAAATAAAATTATCTAGTAAAAAAAGTAAATAAATAAAATGTATTCTCTCCTATATACAACTGACTGATTCCTCATTGTTCTGCCACTGGGTGTAGTAGTTTTCTACCATGTTGACTGGATGGATTTGCTACAAGTAACTTATAATCCCAGGAATAGAGATACCCTCCAGTTCATTGCAGCATTCATGTGTGCCTGGCGCTATCTAGAGATCCTGAAAGTAAACTGAGGGAACTGCGAGGCAAGTGCCTCTCTCTAGGTGTGTCGTTTTCTTCCTGTCAATCACAATCTAGCCTTGCCTTTTGGAAGTCTCCTCCTGAGTCACTGTATTTGGCAAACTGAAGCAGGAAAAGGCTACATGGGATTTGCTAGGTCATGAAGCTGGGAAGCATCCATGGTTGGCTTACCATATCAAAGAAGAACAAGAGGAACCAGAGCCGTCAGGAGCTTGAACTAGAAGCTCAGTTTGATGAGAACTCACTTTCTTCCTCTTTCTGTTGCTCAGCACTGATATTCTTTTAAACAATGGGGAAATTGTCCTTTGGTAATCTCATGTATGAACCATTTGAATACAGCGGAGAAGGACTGTCTGCCCACTTCACATCAAGGACCCATTTCCTTCACAGCCAGTAGGACCATGATAATTTATGCTAAATCTAGAGTCTAGTATCCACTCTCATGTATAGGGAACCTGTGCATATGAGGAGATTATAACACGGCACTTACTGATGTTTTCTTAGTCTTAAAAAAAAAATATTCATTCCATGCAAGTGTGGCATTGCTCGTTTGTGTTCCTAGCACATGGAAGGGAGGTTGAGGCAGGAGACACAAAAGTTTGAGGCAAGACTGGGCTGCACAGTGAGTTCTAAACCAGCCTGGGCTAGAGAGTGAGAACCTGTTTCAAAGCAAATTGCAACAACAAAACTACGAAAAGACAAAATCAAAATTATCCGATAACCCAACTTAGTCCACTTCTCAAGACTTATCTTCTGTGGAGAGTGAATCCTATGGAGGGAGTCATGTCTTCAATCTGCATGGTTTGGTCACAGTTTGATCCTTACAGGGACGGGCTGTCCTCCTAACTAGTGTAAGCCCTCTGGGCTTGCTCCAACAGCAGTACCTATTGCATTTAGTATTTGTCTTCCTTTCTTAAGTTGCTCTGAGTCTGAATAATTTGCTCTGTTCATGAGCCCTTCTCTCTTATTTTAGCTCGTGTGTGAAACACAGACCGCACTCAAGAAATACTTGCTAAAAGACAGGAGGTTGTAGACTTCCATGCAGCAAAATGGAAACAACAAAGAGAGCATAGAGTTTAGAGATGCAGAGGTCCTGGAGTAGGAGGCTGGAGGGCTGGGGGATACTGAAGAAAGTAGGGATTGGTGTTTCAGGGAGTGGGAAGACGTAGACACGGCGGGTTGATGCATTTGGCACAGATAAACCGCCAACCTCCCCCACTCACCCAGTGTACTTCTTTGTCCAGCCCCACATTCAGTGATTTTATATTGGTATCATCAAATTAGCTACAATCAGACTATTAAACCATGGAAGTTAGAATTACCACTTAGCTGCTCTTCCCCCTCCTCCCCCCCCCCATTCGGAAGTTGAATATTATTAATCACTTGTCATACCACTACATGGGAATATGGAAAGAACAGGGATAAGGCTATAAATGAACCCTTGAAGGTTAACACCAGTAATAAAGGGACTTAAAAAGTTAAAGACACAGCTGGGTACAACACAGTATACCTGTAATCTCAGCACTCAGGAGGCAGAGGTAGGAGGACAGCCACAAGTTCAAGGCCAGCCTAGTCCACATAGGAGAGCTCCGGGCCAGCCAAAACTACAAGGCAAGATTGTACACACCTGTTTCTCTGCCACAGAAAGGTTGTGAACGAGAAAACACATGATGAAACTTGTTCGTTTTCTACCCTCTTCAACAGAGTCACGCACGGCAAAATTGGTAGATGGTTACATAAGGCATTGCCCTATACTAGAGGCTTGCAGTTGTAAGGAAGTTACTGTCTGTCCAAGTAGATCAGTCTTGTCCAAGTAGATCGGTCTTGGCCTACGTCATAGGCTGGATCCATGCCAGGCCCAATAGCAGCTGCATTCTAACAGGACCAGGTGTGCTCATGACAGCAGCTCTGCTGTAAATCTGAGCCAGTAGCTCGTATATCCCACATGGTCCAAGTCTACTTCCTCATGCCTCTTGGCACACCAGCCTCCCAAAATGTTGACATTAGCAAACTTCCAACAAAAAGGTTGCCAACCCTAGCATATTTTTCTTTACTGTCTAGGTTATTTTAAATGTCAG